TTAAACCCTAAACCCTCTTTCCCACCGGATGCGCCTTCTCCACAGGCCTAACAACGAGGCTAGGATGCTGGAGTAGGTTTGGGGTTAGGGTTTGGGGTTTAGGGTTTAGGGCTTAGGGTTAGAGTTTAGGGTTTAGGGTTTACGGTTTTGGGCTTAGGGTTTAGGGTTTAGGGGTCTGAATAGGGTTTAGGTTTTCAGGGGTAATATAGGGTTAAGGGTTAAAGCTTTAGGGTTTAAGGTGTAAGGCTGAGGGTTCAAGGTTTAGGGTTTAGGGTATTCCGAAAATTATAGGGTTCCCCGTAGTAAGGATTGTAATACTTTGGGGTCTCACTGGGGTCGCCCTGTTCTGGGAAGCTATCATGTAATGCGGGGGCCTAAACAAGGTGTAGGTTTTAAGGGTGAGATAAGCTTAAGGGTCTGAGTTTTAGGGTTTAGGGCTGGAGGATTTGGGTTCAGGGTTAAGGGCTGAACAGTTGCAACATATGAGACTCGCATGAAAGGCAAATATCTCGTAACATTAAGAACGATTTTCTGTACCGGTCTACCCAAATAACTTTGATACGGTTTTTGAGGTACTGTATATTCTAGCCATATGAAAAAAGAGGAACAGTACCAAAATTGTCTTAAATTGGGAATTCAAATTATTCTAAATTACACTGCTGGTGAAATGTTCGCGGAGGCAGGCTGCTTTCCTACAACCAGCTTAGCCGTGTCATTGAGGTTGCTAACCTTGACAGTCCCAAAGACAGCCTTCAGCTGCAGCTAGCCGCTGGCACGGAAGACCACCTGTTTCTGCAAGCAAAGATGGCATCTTTGCAATTGCAGAAACCGCATCTCCAGCTATAAGAAGGATTACTATAGGTGTAGCTCCAATTTTCGTAAAACTGAAGACTGTGCCCCCACTCACTACCCATGCAGCTCCGAGTATGGAGATACACGTAAGAAGAGCAGACCTCTGCCATGGAAATTCCACCCTCCACAGAATACATCAAACTACATCCCACAAACCCGAACCCTAGACTTTGCATCCTGTAAACCTTACACCCTAACCCCAAAACCCCAAGCCCTGGGTTTTCGTGAGGAACCACAGCACTTTGACTTCTTTCTCATTTCTTCCCGCCTACGAGTAGGGAATGAAGGAATGGATCTTTGTAGGGTCCCATCATACCGTGGTTTCTATATTCGTTCCCGTTCCTTCACTCCCCATATAGCTACCAACAAGCTTATAAGGGGAGAGTGGGGCTTGTACTGGGAGCCTTAAGATCCCCTGAGAATGGCTGAGAGTATACGGGGTTCAGGGGCCGCTTTTGGAATTGTTCTGGCAAATTAAAGTTTAGATCAACTAATAAATATGTCGGGCTTGCATGGAAATGATTTAGGAGAGCTTCAGGTCCCAAGCAAGCTTCCGAGACCGAATCCCGGAACCCTAGACCGTATGTTGGGGGGATGAGCATTGGGCGGGGCCGATACGCTGCCAGCCGTACACGGAGGCAAGTAGTTTTTTTTTACTTTGTGTTTCAGCTCCCTAAACCCTAAACCCTAAACCGTGTGGCTGTAGGATTTGGAGTCCAAAGCCTAAACTTTCCGAAGCCCTAAGCCGCATCGTACTGCTGGTGGGTCCCTGAGGACAGGCTTAAGGCCTGAACCCTCAACCCTCGAAAAACAACAAATAAACCCCTAGACCCTGAAGCCTAAATCGTGAATCTTGATGCTCGAAGCTGCAGTGACTAAATTGCGGAGGTTGAAAGGGATTCGCCAATCCTGATCACTGGGCCCAATGGAGTGTGCACCTGAACACAGGATTGTTGAATCGAAGGAGGGTCTCCTATGCAGCGGATCTTCTGTTTGGGTACAGGGTGATGGGCTTGGGGTCTTTGTTAAGTGTTGCCGACCCTCTCAGGCGTCGTGAGCAAAGAATCGTTCTAAAGGACTCCGAGAGGTTCGTGTTTGTCAGAGTACGCGGCTTTGGGTGCATGGCTTTAGGCCTGTTTGATGCTCTGCGTACTTGATATTGCCTTGATATGAAGGTAGTAGTCAGTTGCCGGATGACTTTGGACTGCTTTTTTTCTTTCTCAGCTGACGATGTGGCCCTGGTGTTGCTCACAGAAAAGAACTGCAGCCTTTCTACTTAAAACTCCACAGGTTTAACGATTCGCTATACAGATGCAAATCCTCAGGCACCATCGCACAATGAACCTCAGAACTTTGATGAACTTTGCGTATACTTACGCGTCAGCCTCGACTAACCTCACTAGGCGCTGGACTATTTCTCAACCCTATATCCAACCCCTAAACCCTAACCTAAACCCTGACCTAAACCCTGACCTAAACCCTGAATGGCCTCAAACCTCATCCCTGAACCTTTTCCTAAGCCATCAAACGTGAGTAAACGCTAAACCCTAAACGGTTCCTCAACCCGAGGCCGGGAAGACAGCGCTTGCACGCGTGCTGCTGGGCCTCTGGAAGCTTATCTGACTCATACCAGCTTTCCCTACTGGTTGTTCGTAGGGAATAAGGGAATCTAATCCCTATAAATCTACTCCCTCATTTCCTATGCTGCCCCAGTGGGTTTCCCGAAAGTTTAGGCTTCAGGGTTACGGTGGGCATGGGTCCCCCAAGGCAGTGGGGATGTGTAACCGTACCCAATTGGGATCCCCCGCCCAAAAGAAAAGTATCCATAATTTTGAGAGACTTCCATGTGAGGAAGACTCGTGGAGCGGACGTGAGTGTTTCTGTTCCTCGCGCCTGGGCTGTTCCAGCAAACAACTTCCGGCTTGCATGTTGAAGATGGTTGTCCTGGGGTCCTTCCACCATCTTTTTTCCCTAAATCCTGCGCCCGGGCCCGGAATCCTAAACCCGAACGCCAAAGCCGTGAATCCAAAGCGCTACCACAGGGCCCTGCTAACTCCAGACCCAGCTCAGGTGCTTTGTCCATTGTCCCGCAGCGGCCCTACCTGGCTCCAGGCTGCTTAGGGGACCAAGTCACCTACCCCAAGCGCTTTGTGGGTGACCAGGATGCCTCCAAAGCTGAAGAGGCTTTGAAACTGGGCTATTCCTGGGCATTTTTTTCCATGATGATTGGCCTTAGTCCCTGTATGTGCCCTATAAAGCCATAAAAGTCTGATTTTTCTGTCTGTCCCAGGAAAGCTGTGGGTTTGGAGCATCTCTTGGAACGCAGTCATGGCAGTTGGGATGCCCGCTGCATGTGGGAGGAGGTACTTTCCGGAGGGGAGCAGCAACGAATTGCCTTGAGCCGGGCACTGTTCCACCGGCCGGACTTCGTGCTGCTGGACGAATGCACCTCCATGGTGGCAGCAGATGCAGAAGAGCGTCTTTACGACTGCGTCACTGCTGTGGGTGTGACCCCACTGACCATGTCGCAAAGATTGTTCCTCCCGAAGCTTCACAAGCAACTGGCTCCCAGTTCGTGGAATGTTTTTCGGGCTTCTGCAGGTTGAAGCGCAGTGTAATATTGCAGAAGCTCTCACAGGTTGCTATTCTGCAGAGCCGGTTTTAGTGTCAGCCCTCAAGCTTGAAAAGGGGTTCCAAGCAACCTGAAACCCCAAACCCTACGTGCAAGACCCCTAAACCTGATAGGTGTTTAGTGTTCAGAGTTTAGAGTTTAGGGCTTGAGCCCTAAGCCCTGAGCCCATTAGCCGTGTTCAGGCAAGAACTTCGTCTCGGCGTCGATAGCCATACCAGATGGTCATTGGCCGCTCTCCATTCACTACTTGGACTATGAGTTCGATTATGGGTTCTTTTGGGTTTGATGTCCTGGGACGGTGTCTTGTGCGTTAGGGACTCAGGATATATGGTTTTGGGGACCCTTAGACCTTATCGTGGGTCGCTTTAGATAAGTACCGAACCTTGTACGGTAAGTAGCGGTGTCTGTGTCTAGGGTTCTGGTTTTTGAGTATTTGATGGAGGCCCGAGTTGCATTTTGCAGTCAGTAATCATAGGCTTTGGATTCATGTTGGATACTGCCCCCCTCACTAACAGTTGGAGAATAGATATACTATGGTTATATATAGCCCTNNNTGGGGGCAGTACCCAAGATTCATGTGATTGTTAGGACTATTTCCTGGTCCTTGTCATCGTTGCTACAAGTACCAGCCGAGCACCACATCGAACATCTCTGCCCCGCCCCCCTCCCTCTCGTTGAATAAGACAAGAGAGTGAAGTGGTTTGTCGAACATCAGTACTCATATAGTTATATACTCAGAACAGAATCCTTCTGACATATTCATGAGGTCCTAATTGAGCAACTCTCCCAGATAGCATCCTCTCATAATGGTTACGTAGCCTGACGCAACCACAAAATTTCAAACAAGGATTTCCACAGACACCACAGGAGAGATTGGAATATAGACACTTAAATGCATGCCAATATTCTTCCCCCTTATAGTCCTTGTAAAGTAAGAGTGTGATCTACCCCCCCAAACTCTAACTGGTTTATTTAGGCCCCTTGGGTACCCGGTGCGCCTGCAACCTCTGCAAGAAATTGGAAGCTGGCACCACTTGTTGCTCTCCTTTCCCTGCACCTCAACCATCTGCATGTTTTAAGTGCACGTTTTGTGGCCGCTCGTTTCTGGAAAGCACAGTTGTGGGTGTGAAGAACACCTTAAGCCCTAAAGCCTGATGGGGAGAGAAAGCCGGATCCAGAACTTCTTGAGCAGAGCAAGACTAATCACATGAAGGTTTTCTTCTTGTGGTAATAGGGTGCCTGTTGACAATCTTATAGAGAATAGCTTCATGAGAGTGATTTTTTACGGTTGATACTAAAATTCCTGCCTGACCCTAACTACCTTATGACATGGGAATTATAGGATTTAAGTATATGTTCAGGTCATGAAGGGTCCTCGGTATACAGGGGTCGGATGCGTCAAAATGAAATCTAGGGGCTCAAGC